GTAGAGTGGATGATTTTTTCCAGACCGCCATTGGGATGACCGACGAGGTCACGATTTCTGCCCTTTATACGATGAATGATGTATCGCCAGATACGGTGATTCGAACCCTAACAAATGTCAGCTCACGAGCGAGAAGTAAGAATTCGATCATTACCCATTCTCCAGGAATTACTCCCAACGGATCCATTTTCCTCGTGTCTATTCAGCCTTGCTTTAGTTGTTGTGGTCTGTCTAGCTGAGACAATCGGACAGAAGCGCACTTTCATCCTGGCTGCCAAAGATGGCGGCTTCCTGACCAACGAATATGTCTACATTTTCGCTGATACAAAATCGAAAGGATACAGTAAGTTTCTAGAAAATCCTTAACAAAAAAGTTCTACTAAGGCAGTTTGGAAATTGGGTACCGTTGTGATGAAGTAAAAGTGGTAGAAGTAGCCGAAAGAAATGAGACTCAACAGACCTATGAACCACTGTACACTAGAGCTGCCACAGGTTCTTGTGACCATTGCTAATAGTCTCACAATGTTGGCGAGTTATGGACAGAACTTCGGCTTTGGAAAGGACTAGAACTCGTTCCTAAACTTTCCGGCCACCATGCTTTATCCTTCACACTACCATGACCCTCTCACTCACCTTCTTGTTATTGTGAATCATGTTCTACTCAGGAATTTTAGCTATCCCTTTGGGCGGCGGGAAAGAACGAGCTCTATGGGTGGATGCTAAAAGTGTCAATGATGGTAGAGACGACGAGGCGAAGAAGGCATTCGGTCAGACTCTGGTCATCTCAGACGTAAGGCTTTCTCAAAAGTTTTTTGGAATTGTTTCTATTATTTTCAAAAGAAATTAATCACAAAAGATGGATACAAAGAGTTGTTGCTTTCACTTGCAACTGCCGCTAGTCGTCTTCTCATTCGATACATGAAGTCATTGAGGTTCGTACTATCAATGAGCATTTACAGTAGCGCTCAAAAGTCTTCGGTGAAATACTTTGACGCTTTTTCGTTCATAACTTTTTTCATAGTAGACCAAATCGCGCAAAATTTGGATATGTTTAACTAGAGCATATTTCACTCTACCCAACACTATTTGACTGCTAAGCTGCAATATCCACAGATAGAGCAAGGTGTTTGTTGTGGTAGCAGATTTTGCTAAAACTAAAGTTGTTGACATCGGCAGTCACTCAAAACTTATGTGCGTTTTTGTAATCTACTATGTTTGGCATTAGGGCTCGCACACTTTGGACATGACGAAAAGGAAAGAATTCCTAGAAGGACTAATGTTTCTATTTCCAGTTGATTTTGATTTCAAGCTCTTTGGGATATCAGGAACATGACCAGATGGCAGGTTAACAGTTGTGTATATTCACAATACACCCATGCTACACATATCAAAATTTCGCGTGATTAGACCCAGTAGGAAAGAAGTTACTACTGAAAAGTACGGCCGAAGAACCATTTCACCGAAGACTTTTGAGCGCTACTGTAGCTTAGGCGGGATGAACTTCTCGCAAATCCTCCTCTCTACATATACGATGACCTTAATATTATACTACTATTAGTTTATTCCCCAAGAGATTACGATTTTGAAGCATTTCACGAAAAAACAATTCTTTCTATCAAGCGAACCTCAGTCACTGACACATACCTTAATTTCTTCGATTATCTTTTGCCATCCTTCTGGTAGTTTTGCTTTTCCCTCGTAAAACTTGTAGCTTCCTGCGTGTTAGTGACGGTGTCCGCTCTCAGTACACGCCACCTTTCACAGTCGTTCCGATACATTCGTCCCTGTCGCGGGCCATAGTAGTGTCAAAAGGATCTTTCTCGCTCGAGCGACACGAAGCATTGTACATCTTTCGCTTAGATCTTCCGTGAAAAGGTCGGATCATTGCGCTTGCGAAAGTCCTGATGTTCGTTTGACGTCCCAGTCTTCGAAATTGGAATCGAGACTACCTCATCTTCGAGTTCTTGGCATGAGCAACGGCGTTGAGGCCTTTGTTCGATGAAAAGTTCAAGTTTCCTCGTGCATCTGCGTGTACAGGTGAATTCCGAGCATGGCCCCATTCTAATCGCGTTGAATGACGCAGACAGCAAAAATCCAAATCTCCGAGTCATACGGTCAAGCACGAAGAACCGCAGTGCCAAGGAAGTGAGCGCAATCCTAGAGTTCTTTGTCTCGTTCAGTACTCTGCTCGATATCTTGCTGTCCCTTGCTCCAGTCATCTTTCTTATTCAGCATTCCACTCTCTGCTTACCACAAAAAGCCTAATGTAGTTTGAAAAACTGTACAATACATGTAATCGGAAACAGTTCTTCAAATATCTCTTCCACAGTGAAATAATAACGCTACAGAAAGAATCAAAAAGAATCAAACTAATATGTTAAAATAAAAGAATTTGATCCACAAAAATGTGCATGAGCCACATTTTGTCGTTACGGAGCATCCTTACATACTGCGTAAGGACGCAATGGTTCCAAAACTGCAGACCTGCACTTTCAATACGCTCAAGGTCAGGTACAATCCACAGCGAAAGAATGGTGTGCTGTTTAAAGGGTGTCTACACTGCTGAACAGCTTTGCAAAGCCTAAACAAGACAATTTTCCAATGTTCGTCTATTTTTGGTCGACCACTCATTTCAGCACATGGGTAGTGGTGCCCTCACGGAAGACTATAAAAACTTCAGTCAGCAGGTCATTGCTAGAATGAAGGACGCTCCATTTTTTTGCACCGATGAATGTAAAGGAGATCAATATTCCGCGGTTAGTCAGTTTTCTCTTGAAAGTGGCTGGTTTTCTGGTATACGTAGTTGGCTCAATCAAAGGGGATAGTTTTAGGCAACAGTAGTAATCACCTAGGTAAGCTGTAGTTGTCTGGAGGTAGACGGTGGAGAAGTGGAGGCTTCATAACTGAAGCGATAACAAGATGCTGCCACTTGGCAATAAGGCAAAGCTCGGAATATCCGAGCGGATGAAGCGCCTTTCATAGCAGAACGGTATTGTACAGTAACATTCTGCAGTGGAAATCTCAGGATAACTATAACATATGATTAAGAATTATATCGACCGGTAAAATAGGCAAACAAAATTGTAACAGTAACATTGTAACAGTAACAAATAAAATGAGGTAAACAATGGCAGTTACTCGCTGAGGTAGTTACTCCAAAAATACACAGTTAGTTACATTGTATCGACATAGCGAAAATTCCTAAACAATAGAACAAGTTCAGAATCTCAAGCATACAAAATTTGCACAACACAAGACATTCATAGTACTGGCGGCATAGTTCATAGCATAAAAAATTGTTTGCACGAAAACGGAAAAGAAGGCGTGTATTTAGTTGGGTCCCGAAGTGATGTGTCGCCTTTTGTATCCGTCCGCGTTTTTTTGGCACTCCCATGCTTTGTTGTGAATGGTGAAGCACTAAGGAGGACCCGGTAATGTCTTGTGTACTACTCCTAGGGCCCTTGGTTCATCCAAATGGAAAATCTCTGAGCCAAATTTACCGTGAACTTTAATGTTTATTTCTGTTCTTTTCCTTTATCAGGTAAGAATCTATTAGAAATAACCTAAAAAAATTTACTTGTCAGGCATCAGTTTATGCCGGCCAACTTCATGATGCTTTCTATTTGTATGCACGAGCACTTAACGGCGCCCTTAAAACGGATCCAGATGGTTACCGTAATGGATCGCTCCTTCTTGATAACATCATGGTGTCGTTCCAAGGTAAACGATTTTATTTATTTATTTAATTATTTATTCATACGTTCCTATAGACGCGCCGGCTAATCAGTACGCGAACTCAAGACAATTCTTACAGTAAATAGAAAAAAAGGAAGAAAAAAAGAGAAGAAGAACAAGGGGGCTGGGATTAGTAGAGAATGATAACCCAGGAACGAGAGGGTGTATTCTTGNAAAAAAAAAACTTTACAAACTTTGCTGAAATGTTTTGAGCAGCAGATACAGGTAGCCAAGTGCTATTGATAGTCTATTAAATCAATTAATGCATTTATCGATGTATTCTGTTTTACTCAGGATCCCAGTGGCCCTTGAATACTTGAACGGTGGTCCGTACAGCAATAATCTACATCGAATCATCTATTTCACTGGCCGACGCATTTATTTTGTTTGGTGAATCCATCATTACAATTAAGCAATCTCAAGGGGCTGAAAAATCGGGTAGCTCAGCTCGGCATTGGAGTAAGCAACGCACGCAATGGAAGCGAATGAGCCTCACTTTTTCCAAAGATCCAACGACAAAGAATATCATGTTTATCTTTGATAATATAGACTAATACATGGATATAGGGGTGTAAGGAAAGTAATGAAACAATAATAATACAATAATGCAACGCATGATATAAGGCAGTGGAAAATGATGAGATGAAATTGAGTAACTGATGGCGAGGAGAACCGTCCAAACAAGGCATTATTCCGAGGCAGACAGCTGTGGGAGTCGAGCGTCCTCGGTCCGGAGGCCGATTGCTCGAAGAAACTCTCGGAGCCGTTGTCTCGCCCTGGAAGTATTCGATGAATCATCGTTCAGGAAAACTGCGTTGTGACCGTAAGGCGCTGCGCCTACATTGGAATATACCCTAAAATTCCATAGATAAGAGCGGGTGAACCTACCGGTGAAAAAAGAATTGGAAAAATCGAAATTGAATGCAGTCACCCCTCTAACTTGATGGATGGATAAATTAAACTTCGAAGAAGAAGTTAAGAAGAAGCTCCGCCCCTCAACTCTAAACCACGCCCACTTAATAAACAATTCATATAGAAAGACAGCGATCCGTTAAAATCGCTATTTTCCTATATGAATTGTTTATTAAGTGGGCGGGGTTTGGAGGTGAGGGGCGGAGCTTCTTCTCAACTTCTTCTTCGAAGTTTAATTTATCCATCCATCAAGTTAGAGGGGTGACTGCATTCAATTTCGATTTTTCCAATTCTTTTTTCACCGGTAGGTTCACCCGCTCTTATCTATGGAATTTTAGGGTAATTGGCAGCCTTGCTTACAGTTTATTGCATCAAGTGCAGCTGCGTCAAAAGCAATTTAAGAATAAAAAGGAGTTTCACAGTAGTCTATGCTGGATTCGAAAAAGGCGGAAGAGTTTGGTGGAGTGAGAGATGTTTGTTTACTAAATTTACTAAACTTTATTGTGAATATACATATTATATGTCATTTTCTTGTGACACATCCTTGCGAAGTATTACCAAATAAATAAAATGAAATGTTGCGGTAACATTTATGCTTCAACGTAATGGGTTCGATTTAGGTGTGTCAGGCCTCGTTGAAATTAGTAAGAACGGTACACGCAAGCCCGTATTCTACCTCGACGGTTTAGACAACTCTGGTGCGCAGATTCTTTATGGAACCGTCGCTGTTGATGGATATAAGGGGGTCAATTAGTATTTTCTTTCTACTCTACCTTTTGTGTGAGAGTTTTTGAAAAACTATTTTGTTTTGCAGGTCTTCAAACCTCTATACACCAATGAAGTCAATCTGTGGTGGACTAGGGACGGAGTTCGTCCACTGGCAGTACCAAGATGTGGATTTTCCGGAGACCAGGTATTCACATACTTCTTAGACAGTACATTACACATGTAGGCTGCGTTCTAACTGATTGAAAGGCTCCATTAACCTGACGTGAGGGGTAAATTTCTCAGATCCGGCAGTGGATACGTTGAGTGCTCCTGAATAGGTTCTGCAGAAACCCAATATCCCGATGTATTGCACTCCTCACGCATTTGAAAATAAATTCAAAATGTTATATACATCATAATTGAGCTGACGAGCGGGGGATGAATAAATGGCTGAGCCTGGGAGGTGTTTATCCGGGTTTTTCTATATCACCTACATTATCTGACGTCCCGTTTATTATTTGCCAGGCAGGTTCCAGCAGAGTCTTCACTTGACACTATCGTGAGTCAACGGGACCCATGGATCTCCCTTAGTCAAGGGCACGGAGCAAACCAAACCTTTCGTTCATAACTTTCGTGAAAAGCGTGGCTATTGTGCTGGTTGCCCACCAGGTGTTCGTTTGGCATCATGAGGGATCGATTCAGTGCCCACTCAGGGTCAACGGTCCATAAAAACGCATGGCCTGTGCGGTCCATTTGATCTCGATCCCCAAGTATGCAATGGCTTTCCTGGGTTTCGTTCATTGAGAAGACACGGGAGTCTGAATCCCTTCTCTGGTTTAATTCCTAAAGTCGTCCTTCTCACAGCGCGGTGAATGACGCTAATTGGCTGGTCATCCTGCTTGGGTAGAGTCCAAGTTTCCGGGACATATGAAGGCAGGAAGGATGGCACTATCGGGAAGGTGTATACGGAAAAGGAAGTTCTCCGCCTTCTCAATGTACTCCAACTAATGTTCATCCAATTTCAGTGTCCTCTGAGTTTTACGGATGTTTATCTGGTCTGGGTTATCGTCGGTAGCCTTTTGGTAATGGCTGTTATCATTATCATTATACTAAGCGTCTGCTACATGATTCAGTAAGTGCTCAATCTTTAATAGGCTTACTGTTGTTCGAAAATTTTTTCATATGATGTTCTGAACAGTTCAACAGATATTCACATTAATAATTAAAAATTGAAATTAAGCTTGAAAAGGAAAGAAACGGAGCGCCTCAATAGTATGTGGCGTATTCCTTTCGTATCACTCGAGTCTATAGCTCAAAAGGTAAAAGATTTTTTTTTTGCTAAAAATGGACTATTTTGATGAAGTTCACTTTGATAGAAGGGGGAAAACAGTCGCCGTTCTTTACAAAGCAGTACAGGCTCCAATTCTACAAAGTTTACCGTGGAAACCATGATCGAAAGACGAAATTTTGCTTTCTACATGTACCAGGTACGTTTTTAGGGTCTCAGCGGCAGTTGGTGACCAGTTCTTGTCTCTTTTTATTTTTTTCTAAGCGAATCAACAAAAAAATCCACCACCGAACTCATCTAACCCCACGGCAAGCTTCTCTAGTTGAGCGGCAGCTACCACACTCTTACTGGGAGTTCAAACCTTCCCGTTCATAGCGCGTGACTGCGAGCTACCCGGTGCGGCAAGGTGACGCGATTTCCGGAGAGAAGTACCCACACTCGGGTTTTTATGGGTCAGCTCATTCCGAAAAGTCCAGGAAAAGAGCATTTGAAATGACAGTGAAAGATATGTGACGGGGCATGTCAACGACGGCAATTCAGGGAATTTTTTGAAATATGTGCTAACAGAATCCTAACCTTCATTACTAGTAAGGCTTGATTTTTGCTCGAAACTGTCGTGTCAGAAAAGGAAAATTTCTGCTCGAGCAACCACACTGCGTTGGGCTCTACCATATCCCAAGTATTACATTGCTTACAATAAGTGCTTTTGTTTTTTTTTTCTTTTTCAAAAATATTTTTAAAGAAAGAACTTGTGGCAGCGATGAAACATGAAGCGAGGATACAACTGGACCCTCACGATTGCATGGAAATGAGAAAGGTACGTCGTGATGGACTTCCTAATTAGACGATGGCTTTTAAGTGCTTATGTTAATAACAGTCTTTAAACACAATCTGACGAATGTGTTGGAGCGAGATGCGGCTATCGCCGCGCGATTTTCGGGGAGAAGTTACCACACCTGCGATAGGCAGTGATTCGTAAAAGCAGGAATGTTTGAACTTTTGAAGGATGTCTCATCATTTTACATCACGCGCTGAATAAGTATAGTTTTCTACATTTTTGCATTCCAAACAGGTGAACGATGAGAAAGCGAAAGCCAATAAATCTTATTGAAAATTTCGATGATGCGATAATTAATATTATTATAAGTCCCCAGAAAGAGGGATCCTTTCAAAATTGTCTTGGTGACTTTGTTTCCCATTTCTATAATAAAATGATTAAGCTGAGAGAAATGGAACACGACAATGTCAATCGTTTCCTCGGATTGTGCCTCGATGGTCCTCAACTACTTTCAATATGGAAACATTGCAGTAGGGGAAGCCTCAACGATATAATCACTACAGGATCAACTCCAATGGACGGTGTCTTCATATTTTCACTGATACGTGATATTGCACACGTGGGTGGACTCTTTAGGACGGACTCCTTCACCTCTTTCACTAAATGCTTTAATCAATTTCTTCTCGGACCAGTTATTTTTATCTCGATGAAGGAGTGCTCCTAGTTGGTCGATGAGAAGAAAAAAAAGTAGCGCCTCAGAAAATTTCTAGAACCATTTTCGTCTCCAATCGCTTCTGTCCAGAGTTATAAAATTCTATTTAAAGTTTTCGAAGAAGAATTTCATTCAGGGTTTGGCATTCATCCATCAATCATTCTTGGATTATCATGGGTCCCTAACATCGAAGTGCTGCCTCGTGGATGATCGTTGGCAAGCAAAGGTATCAAGCTATGGTCTGAGAAAAATACGAATGTATGACAAACGCTTGCCACAAGGTTAGTTACAGCTCCTAAATATGATGATAGGTTCTATAGTTCAATGCGAAGCCATCCTACTTATTATCATAGATCTCTAACATCTGAGATGTCTGTGATGGGTCTAAAAAATGGAGGTGAGGTGTAATCAATCAGTAATCTTGAAACTACAATTAAAAGGCTTGGAGAGATCACCCATCCCTTATGGCTTCTCATTGGAACTTTTACTTCCTTAATGGGTAAGCACCAGGGATATAGGGGATGTAATTGGGCTCAGTGTTCTGAAGCAAAGAATAAAGGGCACGTCGGGCTATCAGTCCATGAAGAACGATAGCGATGCTATTCCGAGGAACTCCCGCTTGTCTGGAGGTATTGATCGAGCGAATCAACTTACTTGATCCTTTTTGGTTTGAACTGGATCATGTCGTTTACCAGTAATTTATCAGTGCATACTCATCACTTCAGACTTGTTGTGGACAGCACCTGAGATTCTACGTAAAGACGAATCTGCTGGATCCCAGGAAGCGGACATTTACAGGTGGGTCTAGTATTACACCTAAGCCAATGTCAGTACTCCCTACCGTTTTCACAGAGAACCCCAAACAGTCCAAAAAACATAGTGGCATAGTGGTTTTGTATAGCTCCAACCGCTGCCCTATTTCGCTACAGCAGCCAACGAATCCATCAGTGGCTACACTGGCTTCTGATTCGTTTTTTCCCTCCTTGCTTTCTTTCTCAGTTACAGCTGGTTTTTGCATGGCATACCACTTCGTATTGGTGCGTCTCTGAGTCCAATAATGAACAAATAAACAAATTGTCCCGAATGGGACCCTAATACTCTCCACATGATTACACCATGGACGAGTATGGGACGGAAACTTTCCATCACTTGAAAATGATCAAATGTTTTTCGGTGCACGCGAAAGGTGTCGTGCCCCATCGTGCGTGGGAAAAAGTAGGATTAGAATTTTATTTCCATTAGAAAAGTAGAACCGAGATGAGCAGTATGATGAATACAAAGTTTGAACCCTGGACTCAGCATACTGCTCATCCCAGCCCTCCTTTTTTTCTTGAGATACAGTCAAAAACACCATACACTTAGCTCAGATCATTCCTAAGCAGCACTTCTTTGCGAGAAACCGCGAGTTATCAGTTCTGTCGATGAGACGATTTCGAGTTTCCTTTTTTCAGTTTTGGTATCATATGTGCACAGTTGGTCACAAAAACTTCTGCATGGGATATCGATAATAGGAAAGAAGACGCATCAGGTTTTTACAGAATTATTATTTTTAGTTTATGAAAAATAGCACGGAACAATTAGTTTCAATCTTCTGTGGTAAGACTTTGTGTGTATTTTTTTCGAAACAACACAGAAGAGAAATTCTGCTTCAATTCTGCTTAATCACTGCTAAGTAAGAATTCAAGTAATTTTTTAATTTCAGAAATACTTTACATGGTGAAGAAAGGAGGTCATAATCAGGAGCGTCCCTCACTGACACTCAAAGATGGTGATGAAGCAAATCCTGCTTTGGTAAGTTACATCAAAACAAAATGTAGTTCAAGTTGTGAGTTCCACGTACGGCATTCAATGAACTTCGGGATTTTTGGTGTACTGTGGCATGTTTTGGCAGAATTTCCTCCATCATCTGGGAGGATCGTAACAGTTTGGCACTATCCGAATGAGCATCTCCACCACCAATTGAAATGTGGTAACCCCTAGGCACGCTCATGATTTGTATGAGTGCTACTTACTGTACTTTTTCGAAAACTGCAAAGCCATCCAGCAAATGATATAGCACAAAGTCATTGAAAGGCCAAACTTGCGTAAAGCCGTAGCTTCAGCGTGATTTTGAGATTTTCATCTCTCCGATTCATTTCTGGCTTGGTGGCCTGTATTCAATATGCCTTCACGGTCTTACAAACCCTTCTGGCTCAAAAAAAAAGCAGTTTCTTCGAAATGACACTTACACCAAATTTATATACAAAGCTCGTGAAGAGCTTCAAAAATGATCGCGAAAATTGAGCTCTGGACGGGTGTCATAGTGCACCACTTGCCTGCGCCAATTCGGCCCAAGAGACCTATCAAATTTTTCTCATTAGATTTGTTATTACTGTGTCAAAATTTTTTTTTCAGCTTCACCTTATTCGGGACTGCTGGACGGAACGCCCTTCAGAAAGACCAGATATAAATATGGTGAAATCGAGTTTGAAGAGCATGAATACGAACAGGTGCCGTTATTTAGTACCCAGTTACCCCCAGTTAAAGTCATTTTTTATGATTCGGGAGTAGTTATAATGGGATTGATAGTCCACAATAGCGGCGAAGAAAACGCGAAAAGCGGTGTATTCTTAGGAATGAAAGGCTACAAAAAAGTGGTAGATTCAAAAGTTGGACGAGAATGTGGCGACAAAAGTTGCATGTGAGGGGTGTTTAGGCGAGATTTCCTGTTGTGTGTGTCATAGCTTAGTGTTGGCTACAGTAAGCTGCCTGCGTGCAACGTGTGGGTCCCGGTGCGAGTAGTGAAAACTGCACAGCCTCCAAAACAATGCGAGCACTCGTCCGCATAGGGTGTGCACGTCGGCTAAGTCGACTACGAGGCCACTATTACTCCCTCTCTAAGCTGTTTTCAAAAGGACAGCGTCCCTTGGGCTTTCTCTGAGGATCAGAGGTTTATCCCAGGAAGATATTTCAGAAATCATTCCTATGCCTCTGCGTGGGCTTTATATATTATGGTGTAAAATACTGCAAAGGTACCGGAGAAAGCGTGAAACTTGATGGATTTCCAGAAAAAATGTGAAGAAGTCACAAGTAAATTTTTTTCCGGAACTCCTGGGGCGACTTCTGCACGCATTTTCTGATTTTTTAATTTTTTTTTCAGGAAAGGAAATCTGATGGATTACGTATTTAATATGCTTGAACAGTATGCTTCAACGTTAGAAGGAGAAGTTGAAGACAGAACAAAACAGTTAGCTGAAGAACAAAAAAAGAGTGATCTCTTGTTGTATCGAATGCTACCCAAGTAAGTTTGGATATTTGGATTGTGTTTCAGGTCCAACCTAACCCCAATCCTGCTACACTCCCAATCCGATGGTTTGAGTTAGTTTGCATAAAGGGGTAGAAAGACCAATTTTCCTGTCAACTTCTGTCCTGGAACACCCCAAAAAATATCTGGCACTTTTTTCAACGAAACATCTATGCTGCTGTCTTCTTTAGCTCAGGATTCGTAGTTTTCACAGTTCCCGTAAGATCATGGAGATCGTCAAGGGATTTTTTACAAAACCCTTTTTTACCTGCATTTTTACATGACTCAGCTTGCAGATATTGTAATTAGTACTCTCATCGGTCAATTCCAGGCAAGTAGCTGACAAATTGAAACTCGGGCAGTCTGTAGAACCGGAAACTTTCGAAAGTGTAACTGTGTTCTTTTCGGATGTGGTATCGTTTACAACTCTTGCAGCTAAATGTAATCCAATGCAGGTAAGAGTTTTGGTTCTCCTCAACTGACACAATCTATTGGTGGTAGCTCAAATGCTCACATATTTGAAGAGCTCTTGAATTTTCAAAACAACATGCTGGTTAATTGCTATTCTTTCAATTACCCGTGCCCAGAATTGGAAGAAACGTAGCCATCTGAAATGCTTTATT